AACTGAGATCCTGCAAGCTGCATGGTGCAGCCAATTAAAAAAAAAAAAAATACATACATACATACATATATATATATATATATATATATGCTGCTAAGTCACTTCAGTCTTGTCCGACTCTGTGCGACCCCATGGATGCCAGCCCTCCAGGCTCCCGCATCCCTGGGATTCTCCAGGCAAGAACACTAGAGTGGGGTGCCATTTCCTTCTCCAATGAATGAAAGTGAAAAGTCAAAGTGAAGTCACTCAGTCCTGTCCGACTCTTAGCGACCCCATGGACCACAGCCTACCAGGCTCCTCCATCCATGGGGTTTTCCAGGCAAGAGTACTGGAGTAGGATATATATATACATATATATGTATATATATACATACACATAATTTCTGGAGATCAGACATCCAAATGGGTTGTAGTTGGCTAAAACCAAAGTGTCAGCAGGGCTGCATTCCTTCTGAAGGCTCTAGGGTAGGAAGGGGAATCCATTTCCTTACCTTTTCCAGCTTCTAGTGGTTGCCCGCCCCTTCTTGGCTCCCAGCCCATTCTATCTTCAGAGTGCATCACTCCAACTTCTTTAGTCATCACATCTCCTTATGCGACTCTGACCACCCCCCACCACCACCACTCCCTTATTGATAACCTTGGGCCCAAGCAGATAATCAAGAATAATTTCCCCATCTCAAGATCCTTAACATAATTATATCTTCAAAGTCCCTTTTGCCATAGAAGGTAACTTATTCACAGGTTTCACAGATTAAGACATGAACATCTTGGGAAGATCATTTTTCCGTCTACCATACAATCTCGGTTCATACAAAACCTGGCAGAGGTTACAGTGTGCTCCATCAATTTCACTCCTAGGTACACATCCCCCCAAAAATGAAACCAGGGACTCAAACACATGATAATATACCAGTATTCACAGAAGCATTATTCACAACAGCCAAAAGGTGAAAACCATCAATGGATCAATGGATAAACAAACTCTGATCTATTCAAACAACTGCTTATTATTCAGCCTTAAAAAATGAATGAAGTTCTGACATATGCTACGGCCTGGCTGAACCTTGAAAACACGATGCTAAGTGAAAGTCATATACAAAAAGTCACATGTCGTATGACTCCACTTCTATGAATGATCTACAATAGGCAAACGCATTGAGACAGAAAGTAGATTAGAGGTTACCAAGGGCAGGGGGGAGGGGAGATGGGGAGTTATTGCTTAATAGTGGGTATGGAGTTTCTGTTTCGGGTGATGGAAACTTTTGGAAATAGTGGTGGTGTTTGCGCAACATCATAAATGTAATTAATGGGACTGAATCATGCACTTTAAAATGGCAAAGTTACCATTCAGGTGAACACACAAAAATATAAAAATGGTAAATTTTATGTTATATGTATTTTACCACAGTTTTTTTAAAAGTTTAAAAAAAAAAGGGTCAATAGGTCTAGATTTGACTCGTGGGCTATAGTTTGCCTGACTCCATAGGTGAGGGGAAGGGGGTTGCAGTTTAGGTTTCACAGCCCAACAATCTAATCATCTTGCATGCCTGCTGCCTTCTGAGTCCAACCCTCCACCTGTCCTGCCCCTACCCCCACCCCTGGATCTGCACAGCACTGGGAAAAGGAAATCCCACCATCTTACTTTTAAATGCTGGACCAAGATCCTCAAGTGGCTCCTTTGCATGGCTGGCCATCCCCTCATATGCCCCTGGTCCCTCCTCCCTCCCTTCCCAAGGCTCCTATCACTGCCTCTGCCTCCCCCTGGTACCTGGAATCTGCCATCCGGCCAGCACCTAGATGTGGGCCCATGTTCTGTCCGTGCCTGGAGAACCCCTCCACGTGTATTCTTCAAAGATGACTCTCCAGCGACTGTCCGCCTTCCTGCATCCTTCCCTCCTGCCCGCTACTGGCTCATTCCCACGTGGAGAACAAGCCATCTTATGCCCAGTTAAAAACAGGGGAGTCCCTGGCGGTCCAGTGGTTAAGAGTCCATGCATTCACTACCGTGGGACTGGGTTCAATCCCTGATCAGGGAACTAAGATCCCATCAGCCCTGAAGCTTGGCCAAAAAGAAAAAAAATCAGACAATCATACATCCCCTTCCAGCTACCACTCTTGACCGCAAAACTCCCTGAAGTGGCTGCCTATGCTCACTTTCCCATCCTGCTCACTCCATCTATGAAAACTGCTCTCACTGGTGACTCCAAGGAGCTCTGTTTCCTTGAAGAGGAAAACACTGTATCTAACTTTTTAAATTTTTTTCAGTTGCCCTGTTTAGGGATCGAACCCGGGCCCCCTGCAATGGAAGCAAGGAATCCTAACCATTGAACCACCAGGGAAGTCCCTAAATGATCTTCTTGAAGTTCTTTTCTGCTTGGCATCTGAGATATTCTGGGGCCATAGTCTTCAGACCTCATCTCTGTCTACACACACTCCCCACTCTTTGGACCACAGAGTTTCCAGAAAGGACTCGAGGCCATGCAGTGTGATTCAGAATCCAGGAGGTTCTGCCCCAACCCCAGCTCCTGGTGTTATCAGGGTGACCGCAGTTAAGTTCCTTAACCTGAATCAGCTTCCTGGTCTATAAAACAGAGGCCATATAGTACCTAGCTTGCAGGCTGGCTGTCACAAGAAGTCACCGGCACACCTGGTGTGCATAGCATTAATAAGCGGTATTTCCTGGTATCACTGGTTTGCCATGGGTGACAGTGGCCAGAAGTAGCTTAGCCGGCCCAGGAGAAGGACAGGGTTTGGTGATGTGCGGGGGAGGGACAGAGGAGGGGCCAGCTTTCCCCTTCCCCTGCTCAAACTTGTCACAGTGATGAGACTTCCCTGGCAGTTCGGTGGTTAAAACTGCACTTTCAATGCAGGGGCTACGGGCTCAATCCCTGGTTGGGGAACTAAGACCCCATATGCTTCGTGGCACAGCCAGAAAAAAACTTGTCACAGTGAAAGAAAGCAAGTGTGTTGCAAGGTTCTTTTCTGTTGAATGTAGTGCTCACCTCCTTTATCATAAAGACACTCACAGGTAGGATCTGGTGTGAAAACTGGCCTGCAGACAGTTTGCCCTTTAAAGGGGAAGTCTCTGTGAAGACTGTCATCAAATAACTGCCAGTGGACAATCGGTGTTAGAAATGCAGATGATCAGAAATGCAAATTACAGAGCTGACAGACAGCCGGCCCACCTGCAGCAGGGTTCTGGGGCTGGAGACCCCAGGGACAGACAATGCTTTGGAGAACAAATGAGGGGAACGGACTGACTCAGCCTAGGGGAAAGAGCCAGGGACCACAGTGTGGCCTGGGACACCTCAGAAGCCCATCCTCCTTCCTCTATGTTGTCAAACCCAAGCCCAATCAGCCCATTTCCCCCCATCCCTCTTTGCTGCCTTCCCCCAGCCCCACCCCCAGATTCTAGGTGGGAAGAGTGATGAGCAACAGGCTCTATTGATGACTGGATACAGAAGCCATGGTCTATTCACCCAGTGAAGAATTGCTCAGCAAGTAAAGGGATGAACTACTGATACATGGCACAACGTGAATGAACCTTGACAAGGTGATGATCAGTGAGAGAAGCCAGACATAAAAGGCCGCATATCATATGATTCCATTTCTATGAAGTGTCCGGAATAGGCAAATCCACAGAGGTAGAAAGTGGATTAGTGGTTGCCAGGGAATGAGGCCAATTACTTTGCCAAAAAAGGTACGTCTAGTCAAGGCTATGGTTTTTCCAGTAGTCATGTATGGATGTGAGAGTTGGACTATAAAGAAAGCTGAGTGCCAAAGAATTGATGCTTTTGAACTGTGATGTTGGAGAAGACTCTTGAGGGTCTCTTGGACAGCAAGGAGATCCAACCAGTCCATCCTAAAGGAAATCAGTCCTGAATATTTGTTGGAAGGACTGATGTTGAAACTGAAACTCCAAAACTGTGGCCACCTGATGCGAAGAACTGACTCATTTGAAAAGACCCTGATGCTGGGAAAGATTGAAGGCAGGAAAAGAAGGGGATGACAGAGGATGAGATGGTTGGATGATATCGCCGACTCAAACATGAGTTTGAGTAAACTCTGGGAGTTGGTGATGGACAGGGAGGCCTGGCATGGGGTCACAAAGAGTCAGACATGACTGAGTGACTGAACTGAACTGAAGGGAATGAGAGGGTGTCAGGGGGAAATGGAGAGTGGGTGCTAGTGGGTACAGAGTTTCTTTTGGGGGAGTGATAAAATCTTCTCAATCGATTGTGGTGATGGTTACAAAATTGGTTGTATTAAAAAAAAACCCACTTAGTTGTACACTTTAGATGGGTGAATTGTATATAATAAAGCTGTATATTAAAAAAAGCTTTATCTCTTAAAAAAAAAAAAAGCTTTATTGGCCCTGAAGATTTCCAGAAGTCCCAGGAGCCCCAGAAACCTCAGGAATACCCTAAAGCAAAGGGTTCCAGAGCGTCTTTCTTCGGCCAAAGTGGGATCTGGCTGCCCTCAAGGTGCCATCAGCGCTGCCCTTCTCAGAACACATTTGCCCTCCTCTGAGGCTGGTTGGAATCTCACGTGAGAGACGTGAGCCCTAAGACCATGGATTTAAACTGCAGCCAGGAGGGCGGGAGAGGGGACCATCAGCACAGAGGCTGCGGCAGGTTTCCATTCTACACAGTGCCCGAGGGGCAGGGGATGGGTTTCTCTCAGTTTTAAACTTTTATCCTACATGTGCATCTAAACTACTGTTCTTCTCTTTGGAATGATGATGTACTTATTCCCTGTTGCCGCATCACAAACTTCCATCAATGTATTGGTTTGAAACGGAGAAGGCAATGGCAACCCACTCTAGTTTCTTGCCTGGAAAATCCCATGGACGGAGGAGCCCGGTACGCTGCAGTCCAAGGGGTCGTGAAGAGTCAGACATGACTGAGCGACATCACTTTGACTTTTCACTTCCATGCATTGGAAAAGGAAATGGCAACCCACTCCAGTGTGCTTGCCTGGAGATCTCAGAGATGGGGGAGCCTAGTGGGCTGCCGTCTATGGGGTCGCACAGAGTCAGACACGACTGAAGTGACTTAGCAGCATCAGCAGCATTGGCTTGAAACAGTACCATTTATCATTGGCAGACGTGGCATGGCTGGGCTCTCAACTCAAAGTCCTGCCAGGTGAAACTGGGGTGTTGGTGGGGCTGCAATCTCATCAGGGCCTTGGATGGTCTTCCAAACTCACTGGTTGTCAAGAGGATTCAGTTCCTGTGACTGTAGGACTGAGGTCCCATCATCTTGTGGTTGCTCCTGTAGACCATCCTCAGGCCCTTATCCTGTGGTCCCTCCATCTGAGGAACAGAGAGGGTCCCACACATCGATTCCCTCTCTTGCTCTGAATCTCTCTAATCTCCTCTTTCACCAGCAGCTGGAGAAAACTTTTTTGTAATGGCTTGATTAGGTCAGGCCCACTTGGATAACCTATCTCTTAGGCAACTTATAACCTAATCACAGGAGTGATGCCAGGGTCACAGGTTCCACCCACACCCAATGTAGGGAGTTCACGAGAGCAAAGGTCACTGGGGGTCATAGGAGAATTTCTGCTACCACAGAGGGGAGACCATGAGGAGGTACAGAGAAAGTTATGGAACGCCCCTCAGGAAGTACGGAGAACTGGAGATGGAGCCTGAAGCAGAAACGAGGGCCCCAACCCTAACTGGAAGCTTTTTCCTCTACACAAACATGACAGGAGCAGCGGGTGGATGGACAAGATGGCCTTTCGGGCTCTGGCTGACCTTTCAGGCCCCAGCATGCTCACGTGCACATGGGGAATCCCGGCCTTCTTGGGGTTGAGGGGTGTGGATACCAGCTATGGCAGCAGGGATGAGGCCCCATAGAAACATAAAGCCCTTGCCTGGGAGACGATCCTAAATGCTCCCAGGAAGGCAGAATGGGGGTCAGATGCCTCTGTTGGGGTTTGGAGCAAACTGCAATACCCACCAATGCCCTGGTCCCCTTTCCTACGTTAACCACAGGGAGAGTCCTGGGCCAGCAAGACTGGGGTCCCCCAACCACTAGGGGGCGACCAGCACACACATGTTTTTGTCTAGGCTCACCCTGAGCACATCTGGGGAACCCAACTGCACATACTAGGGTGGAAGCACTGACCACTCAGGTTCCCACACCCCCAGGGCCCCAGATCCCCAGCCACAAGGCCCTGACCTCCAGATGCCCGCTTCCTTCTAACAGGCTGACCTGATTCACTTTGCTCACAAGCGAGCCCTTGACAAGGGGGCTGGAGCCCACCTTGATGTGTCCCGCATCCCCTCTCTCTGGTCCCCACTCCGTGTTTCCAGGCCTAACACTGCAGCCCGTGGTGGGGAGCCTCCTGCCTTCTCTTCTCTTCCTCCACCAGCTTGCCCTGTCCGGGCCTCCCCACCCCCCAACCCTGGGACATGTTCCCTTGCTGCTTTGCAACAGGTCGACAAGGAGGAACCAAGTCGTCTGCTTCAATTGGGTGCATTCCCCCCTTATAAAAACTCAGTGAATGGCCATCCTGGCTGGACTTTCCATATTAGACAGCAATAGCTGGCTGACCACTTCCTCAGTTGATTTTAAGATGTCAGGGCAGTTACAACAATCCCACCAGAAGCCGGGGGTCTCAGCAGAGCAGTAAAGGGGGATCAGGAGTGCAGGGGGAGGGAAAGACAGGGCTTCTGGGCCTCTGGTCAATATAAAGGTCAGTGAGCTCGAGAGGCTGTCCAGTCTCCCTCTGGGCCGCAGGCTCCTCTCTGGAGGAGTGGACAGGGATGGGGAGAGTAGGCAGGACGTCCGGTCCCATCTGAGGATAGGACCGGCCAGGCCAGGGGAGGGACAGAGGCCGGCTCTGATGAGAAAGCAGACCTGGGTGGGCTTCGAGGGGGGAGGCTGATGGGAAACGGGAGGAGCTCTCCCTGGGGAGGAGGCCTCAGCGTGCCAGGAGGCACCTATGTATGTGGGCACGAGAAGGCTGGGCCACGCATGTGCCTGACACCTGCAGCTTTGGCGGCTTTCCCTGCATCTCCCATTTCATCCTCACTATGGACCCCTAATCCTGTTATTCCCTGGGGACTTGCCAGGGTCACCTGGCCAGTCTGCACCAGTGCCTGGCTCCCTTCAGGCTCCTCTCAACGACCTTGCTGTCGCCATCCCCAGAACAGGCTGAGAACTCACCTGGTCCCAGTGGTCCGGCCCTGCCCAGGTAAGCCCAGGTGCAAGAGGGAAGCTGAGGGATGTGGAGGGCGAGAACCCCATCTGCTGAAACGTGAAGGCCAGGTTCACAGCGATACAGAACACACGTGCTATGGATGATGGTCAGGGCCCAGACAGCCAAGGGAAGGAGCAACTCCTAAGGGTCAGGGAGGGCTTTGGCTTCAAGTCTGGGCGGACAGGGAGAAAGAAGGCGAGGCAAGCTCGCTGGAGGGGAAGCTGGCTGGAGCGAAGGAAGGTTTCCCGGTGGCGTTCTCCTCCCTCAGCCTCTCCGGACCGTGCGCCCATGTCACGTGCTGCTCCCACCAGCACAGTGGGGGTTAACGTCTGTCTGGTGCAGTGACCACAGCGGCAGGCTGTGATGCCAGTAACTCAGAAGCTGAAATTTGAGAAGCAGAGGGGAGAGGGGCAGGGCTGGGAAAGGCTCAGCGGCAGAGAGGAAAGAGGGTTTCCCTGGCAGGAGCTGCAGCTCTGCTCCAGTGGCCAGAAAAGACCCTCCCTCCACCCCCAGCCCCTCTCCCCATCATCGCCCCCCTGCCTTAGGCTGCGGACTGTGGCACCCACTCAAGGGGGTCCATGGTGGGCCAGTGTCTGAGCCCTTGGGCCACAGGGCTGCGGATGGGGGCTGCGGATCAGGGGGGAAGGATGGAGGGCGTGCCTAGGCGGCCCGCGGAGAATGCATGAGGCCCTGCCCAGCGCTGCCGGAAGCGCTGGGTGGGGAGCAGGCCGAGGGCAGAGTGGGGAGGAGGAGGACGAGGACGGGAGGTCCCTAGGGGCCCGACCTCAGCAGTCTGGCCTTGACTCCCCCCTCCTTGGGCAGGATTGAGTCATGGGAGACACACAAAGCTACCCGCCCCCTTCCCGGCCCACTGCCAGCCTGCCTCTGCCCTGAGGACCGACCTCGACTTCTTCCCAAGCACGTGTGAGGTGCTGGGCATGGCACGAGCTGCTCATCTCCCTGCCCTCAGTCAGTCCCACAGAGTTTAGGCGGGTCTGTTATTGTGACCCCCATCACAGATGAGCAGACGGAAGCTCAGAGAAGCTCAGAAACTTGCCCGAAGCCACACAACCAGAGTGGCAAAGCTGACAAGATCCTGGGTTTGTCTGACAGCAGTTACCCACCATGCCACACTCCTGGGAAGGAGCCAGGAACAAAGTCCAGCAGAAGGTGACCTGGGGCTGCACGCCAAATCCAAGAAAGCAAGAGATGAAAGGCAGCCCAGGAACCCCAGGAAAGAGGCTGCAGGTAAATGAAAGGGGCAGCAATGTTTGGGGCTTGTACTCCGCGAGGTGATGCAAACGGAATCTGGAGGGAGCAGGGCCAGGTCTGGTCCAGCCTGGATCCGTGGACGACGATGCTATGGCCACAGGGACCTCTCGTAACCCCCTAAGGCACATCCCTTGGAGCCACTGGATCACCACCAAGCAGGTGACCCACTCACCTCAACAGATCACAGAGGACTTCTTGGACTTCAGGTGTGCCTGGCCCTTGTTTGAAGAGTCAGCAACATCTACCATGCAGTAACAGTGGGCAAAGCTCTGCTAAACACAGGCAGAAACACCAGGGTCTGTTGACCAGGAGGCAGGAGGGTCCTGGCTCCATGGCTTCCAGCGGTGACGTGACATTGGCTCACCTCTCTGAGCCTCGGCTTCCTCACCTGCACGAGGGGGATCATGTTAGCACTGAAACAGACGGCTGCTTTTAGGATTAAATGAGGTGTTTGTCAAAAAACACTTAGACTGAAAAACCTCATCTTCACAAAAACTTGTACATGCATGTTCCCAGCAGCATTATTCACGAAAAGTGGAAACAACCTGAATGTCCTCTGGTGGATAGATAGATAAACCAATGCTGATCCATTCAGACAGTGGAATATTATTCACCCATAAAGAAGGAATGAGGTGGATGAACATTGAAAGGAATAATATGGATGAACATTGAAACATGATGCTCAGTGAAAGAAGCTAGATACAAAGGACCACATATTATAGGACTCTGCTTATATGAAATGTCCCAAACAGGCAAATCTGTAGAGTCGGAAAGCAGACTAATGATTGCCAGTGGTTGGGGGTGGGGAAAGAGGAGAATGGGGAGTGACTGCTAATGCATTCAGGGTTCTGTTTTGTTTTAAATTAATGTAGGGACGGGTTGTGCCATGCAGCTAGCAGGATTTAGTTCCCAAACCAAAGACTGACCCCAGGCTCTGTGCAGTGAAAGCACAGAGTCCCAACCACTAGACCACCAAAAAATTCCCAAAATCAATTAAAAAACAAACAAACAAACTAGTTTTAAGCTCACAGCAGAATTGAGCAAAGATTCAGAGACTTTTCGCTTGCCCCGACATGTGCACAGCCTCCCCCACGATCAATCCCCACACGAATGGTACACATCTTACAGTTGATGAATCTGCTAGGCTTCCCTTCGGGGGATGATAAAAATGTTCTGGAATTAGAAGCTGGAGATAGATGCACAACTCTGTGAATACATTAAAATCCACTGGATTGGAAATTTTATTTTTTTTTACATGTACAAACTGCTTTATTTATTTATTTTTGACTGTGCTGGGTTTTGTTGCTGCGCAGGCTTCTCTGTAGTTGCAGGGGATGGGCTGCTCTAATTGCAGTGTGCGGGCTTCTCATCACAATGGCTTCTCTTATTGCGGAACAGAGGCTCTAGGTGCACACGGGCTCAGCAGTTGCAACTTGCTGGCTCTTAGGGAACGAGGGCTTCAGTAGTTGCGGCCCCGGGGCCCGGTTGCTCCATGGCATGTGGAATCTTCCTGGACCAGGGATCTAATCTATGTCCCCCGCATCAGCAGGTGGATTCTTCATCCACCGTGCCACCAGGGAAGTCCTGGATTGTCCATCTTAAAGGGGCGACTTTTAAGGTATGTGAATTATGCCTCAGTTTTTAAAAAGCACTTAGTAAGAGCTCAAAAAACGTAGCTCTCATTACTATGTCCTTCAACTTCAGTGAGTCTGTCGTGTAATGAAAAGAGACAGATGAACACGTTGAAAAATCTTAGAGAAGACAGCCAGGCAACCTGGTCCCAGCAGTCTGGGACACCTGTCCTAGAGTCAGGCTCAGGGCACACAGGACATGGCCGAGGGATGGATATGGGATCCCCCCCATCACCGAGGGGGCTGATGTGGTGATAAGCTCCACACAGGAGTACCAAGCCCACGGTGTCCAGATGAGAATAACTGTGAGTGTGGGAGGCTGGCAGGGATCTGAGGAGGTAGCATTTGGACTCAAGTCCTCAAGTCGGAGGATGTGGGTGGTTTGGTGGGGATGAGCAGACACCTCCAGATGTGTGGCGTCCCAAAGGGATGCTGGGAGGCAGGGCTGGCAGGAGTGGAGGGTGCTGAGCCCAGGGTGGGGTGGGGTGGGGTGGGGGCACACTCCTTGGAGCACATCCTGTGCCCCAGCAGATATTGGGAGGGGCTGCACTTCACAAATAGCTGCAAAAAGCTTCCAGGAGGTGGGCCCTCCGCCCTCCCAGAACCTCCAGGTTTCTCTTGAAGCCTCCAAGAGGTTCCCACCACTCTGGGCACCGGCTTTCCTCTTCCAAGGAGCCCCGGGCCTGGGTTCCCCTTCTGAGTCACCCTACCCCCCCCCCCCCAGCCTCAGGTTCCCGGGTTCCGGGAGAGACAGGCTACAAGATGGGTGAGCCTGGGTCCCGCCCTTCACACACACACATACACACACACACCCCACCCCGGTCCAATGACCAGGCAGGCTCATGCTGCGCAGGGAGGGACGGACCGTCACTCCCAGGAGTGAGGCTGGGCCCCTCCTCCAGCCCCCGGTGACTCCCAGGGGCAGGCCTGAGCCTGCAAGCCCACAGGTGACGCCCACCCACCTCTCCCCCCAACCCCTTTCCTGTCCCTCCTGCCTCCACCCTCTGCGGTATAGTCCCTAACCCAGGGAGAAGCCAGACAGTACAAAATTCCTTGGAGAACAGAAAGGGGCCTGCCTGCTCACTCCCAGATACACACACACACACACACACACACACACACACATGCACACACCATCCTTTCAGCCCACAGGGCAGACCACAGAGCACCTAGATTCAGGGCAGAAAAGGGGGCCGCGGTCACTTAGCTCTGAGTCTTCTCCCGGACCTGACCCATCCAAGTGTCCAACATGAGCTGGGCCCCAGCTGAGCCAACGAGGGGCAAGCCGAGGGTCTCGCTGGAGCCCCAGGGAGAGGCAAACTGGGAGTCCGCAGGCCTCGGGGAGCGATGGCCTGAGTGAAGCTACACCGGACACTGGGTCGGGAGATGCACGCCCGCGGCCCAGGGCCACTGACAGCACGGGACCAGCTAGGCCCTCAGCCTGTGCAGTTACACGAGCTCTTGAGCAACTGGTCTTTGAAGGAGGGCCCCAGGCTGTCCTGCTCCTTAGGGGCTCTGGGGGCTGAAGGGCTGGGACGAGGCTGGGGACGGGGTCTCACCTCTCTCCCAGAATCCTGGGTGGGGGAGCGTGGGACCCTGGCAGGCTCTTCCTCCTTGGCTCCCTCGCTCGCTTTGACCTTCAAAGCTGACATCTGCCTGCAAGACTCCATCTCTCCTCCTGGAATCCAGCCTCCAGATGTCGGATCCGAGCCGGCGGCCGGCGGCAGCAGTGGCTGCCTGCCTCCCCCCAGAGTGAATCAGCCACATTCCAAAGGTGCGAACACAGACGCCGCGCCCTCGGCAGCCTGGGGCTGCAGACTTCCTCCCCAGGCCCGCCCGGCCCCTGCTCCCCTCCCAGCCCGCCTCTTCCCAGCCAAACCGGGCTTTGGGCTTCCTTTCCAGAGACATTCTCCTGGAACTGGAACAGAGAAAAAGAAAGCCACTGGGGCTGGGAGGCACCCCGACCCGCCCTGCTGGCTCTCTCCCCTACAGGGAGTGCGGACCCCAGCCCGGCACCCCGGCTGTTATCAGTACTTGCTGTTCATTCACACAGCGGGAATTTACTGAGCACCTACTATGGGGCAAGCAAGAGAGAGGCAAGCCCCTGACTGCCCGGAACCACACCCAGCAAGAGTCAGAATCAGCTCCACAGACAGAAAACAATTCCAAGTGCGGGAAGAGCTCTTAAGGAAAGAAAGAAGGGGCTGAGACAGAGGACAAGTGACAAAAGGAGGGTCTCTCTCTGGAGTCACGTATAAGCTGAGGGCTGAAGGATGAACGGAAACCTTATCTACAGTCACTTCTCTGTGTCCCGAGAACTACAGCAAAGCAGCCCCGAAGAATGTCTCTCGATTCCTCAGAAAGTTTTTGAGTCCTTGTGTTTATGCCTTCTGTCAGCATTGATGCAGGGAAGTCTGGCTAATTATCCTGATTTTTTTTTTTGACCGTGCTATGTGGCATGTGGAATCTTAGTTTCCCAACCAGGGAGCGGACTCAAGTCCCCTGCATTGGAAGTGCAGAGCGTTAACCACTGTACCCTCAGGAAAGGCTCCTGGCTAACATTTTTTTTTTAAATAAAAGCTTTATTGCAATATAAATTACATAGTATATAACTTACCATTTTAATGTATACAATTCAGTGATTTTTCAGTATTTCCATGTGGTGCAACCCTCACCACAATCAATTTTAGAATATTTTCATCACCCTCAAAGAAACCCTGCAGTGTTTACCAGTTACCCACCCCACCCCACCTCCTGCCCCAAGCCCCTGCAACCACTCACCTATTTACTGTCTATGGATTGGCCTATTCTGAACATTTCAGAGCAAAAGAATCATACAGTATGTGGTCTTTTGCGTCTGGCTTCTTTTGCTGAAAGAAGTGGTGTCATTCATCCACATGGTAGCCTGTGTCAGTACTTGTCTTTTTCCTGGCTGAGTAATATTCCAGTTTGTTTATCCATTCATCCGTTGATGGACCTTCAGGCTGTTTCTACCTTTTGACTCTTGTGAATAACGCTACTGTGAACATCTGTGTACAGGCTTTTTGTGGACATGTGTTTTCTCTAGAGTGCACACCTCGGAGTGAAGTCACCAGGTCAAATGGTGACTCTATCCTAAGGAACTGCCAGTGGCTGCACCACCTGATACGCCCAACATGTCCACTAGCAGTGGGAGAACGTTCCAGTTCCTCCCTCTCCCCCTCAACACTTGTTGTTGTCCCTCCTTTTTTGTGACCACCATCTGCTGGGTGAAGTGGTACCCCACTGGGGTACCGAGCTGCACCCCCATTCCTTTCACGACTGCACTGTCCCACTCCCTGAGGATTCCAGTGTTTCCAAGCCCTGCAACAGGTCCTGCTGTGATCCACCTCCTCCTTCACAAGGGTCAAACCCTAATCCAGTCCAATGCCTGCAGGCCTTCAGGTATGAGGAGCAGTGGAGAGGAGAGATGGGCACCCGGGTCTGTGCCTCCAAGGAGGACAGTGTGGAAGAAGGGCCTGGGCAATCACCTCCAGGAGTTCCTGTAGGAACTGAGGCCTTCCTCTCTGCACTTTCACAGAGAGGGGTTTCACCTGTTTCTTCACGCCACAGCCCTGGATAGTAGGCACACCATAAATTACTGCCCAATGGGTGAATGAATGAACAGAAGGTGAAGAAAGAGAACCCAGAGTGGGGATTGGTGGTTAGAAGCTCAGGCTCTGCGGTGAACTGGTTTCCACTGAATCCCACCTCTGTGACTTTATAGCCGTGTGCCCAACTTCTTGGCTTCTGAGCCTCCCTCACCATCTACACACTGGGCCTGACAGTGACTTTCTACCTGACACCACTTTTGAAAAAGATTCATTATTTTTATTTTTGGCTGCAGGGGGCTTTGCTGCACCAGAGGCTTGGCTACTCTCTCGCTGCCATGTGCGGGCATCTTGCTGCGGCGGCCTCGCTCGTGGAGAACGGATCCCAGCTGCACGCGGGTTTAGCAGTTGCGGTGCATGGGCTTAGTTGCCCCGCGGCACGTGGGACCGTCCCAGACCAAGGATCGAACCTGAGTCCCCTGCATTGGCAGGCGGACTGTTAACCACTGGCCCAGCAACGAAGTCTCTGACAGCACGGTTTTGAGGATTAGATGCGCCAAGCAGTGTTTAAATTTAATATGCCAAGGAATTCTAGAGAGGAGGTCACATATCATCAATCCTCACAAGGCACTTGTGAGATGACTGTTGTTATTAATACCTGCTTTGCTGTTATAGACAAGGAAATGGGAATTTGGGGGGGGCTCAAGGAGTCTATCCAGGCGAAAGGCTAGAAAGGTAAAGCCAGGATCTGAATGAAGACCCCGGCCCCTGGCAGGGGCCCTGACTCAGTGCCATGTGGCCCCCGACACAGATGAGGAAAAGCCAGGCAGCCTCCAAGTAGTCCAGTTCAGCTGACGCCCCTGGGCTGAGTCAAGCTCTCAGAAAGCGAGGGGGCCACTGAAGAGTTCAAAGGCCCCTAACTGCAGTGGCCAGATGGAGGGACCCAAGAGATGTGTGATGGGGGGGCACGGAATAAAAGAAAAGGTATTAACACAAAGAGACCCTCAGCCTGGGACACCAGGACACACACCCTTGTGGGGGGGTGTGTGCTCAGGGGTCTGGAAGGTGAGATGGTACTATGCCTTTTACCAGGGAAAGCAGAGAGAAGTCAGAAGTTTCCATCAGGGAAGCCTGGCTGCTGGGATGGGCACTCTGTCCTCTGTCAGGGGCAGAGCTTGGAAGGAGCATCAAGGCACCCACAGTGGGTGGACCCCTCTCGGGGTGACATGTGTGGCCAGCCAGACTCCGTTCAAGCCAGAGCCTGTATCAAAGAGCTCCACGGGGTTAGCGGAAGGGAGATATCTAGCTCACCCCTAAGAATGTCAGGTTGATGCACCTCAGAAGCTGGGTAGCGTTGGGGGGACTCTCCTGAATAGAGATGGGGTTCCTCTCTCACATTAAGAAAAATCCATTTATTCATTTGGCTGCGCTGGGTCTTAGTTGCAGCACAAGAGATCTTCCTTATGGCAAACAGGATCTTTCAGTCACAGCATGTGGGACCTAGTTCTCCAACCAGGGATTGAACCCAGACCCCCTTTAACTGGGGTCTTAGCCACTGAACAACCAGGGAAATCCCTCCCCCTCACTTTTGCCTCTTCAACTGAGGAAAGTCATCAAACAGAAAAGGACCAAGGAGGGAATCCTAGGGAATACCTAGTTTTAGGGGGCCACAGGCAGGCAGGTGGTGCAGACCCCGGAGGGTTTTGGGAAGGACAGCTGGGAGGAGGTCTACCCAGGGGGAAGGCTCAGGACAGCTCAGCGGTGAGTGGGTGATGGGGCAGCCTGCTCTTTGGAGGAAAGTTGGCTGGGGAAGGATCGAGGCAGAGCTATCACTTGAGATGCCATCATTTATTTTAAACAGGGGAGAAGCTCAGCTGATGACAGCACCCCAACGGAGAGTGGAATGCACTTAAATCCAGTTGTAGAAAACATTTACACACACACCAGGCTCCGGATCTGCTAGAAGGCTCCAGAAGGGGTTTCTCATGGCTGCCTGGCTGGGAGGTCCAGGACAGCGGTTTTCCAGGTTTAGTCAGAGGACCACATGCATCTTAACTGCTTGAGAGCTTGTTAGAAATGTGTATCCCTGGGCCCCGCCCTCAGTAAGTCTCTCAGTTTGAGAAGCACTAGGGCTGTAAGGCTCAGAAGCTCTCCAGCTCAGTAGGCGACAACACAGGGAGGCTGATCTGAGGGGACCAGCTCTCAGCTCATTCGGGCATTCTCTCTACGTTCATCCCCATGACTCACAGGACTCAAATGTGCCGCCTCAGACCTCTCCCCCTCCACCCAGACACTCCCACACTCTCAGCTCACCTGGTCAGTGGCCAGAGCTCCAGCCGCCCCCTCAGTTCAAGGCCAGACTGTACGGAAGGTCCCAGGAGCCCAGCTAGGATGAGAGTCGTTCTCCTGGGGAAGCCCCCAGCCTGCCAGGTGCCCCCAAGGTGCCTTTGGCCCCACCTGCAGCAGTCTCACCCTGAGAAGGGACTGACCTACCTGACCCAGACGCAAAGGCCTGGAGACTGTGTGGCTGAGAAGAAGAGCAGAAAGTGTCCCCATCCCCTTTGGTCATTGTCCCCTCTGCCACCTCTACAACCCCACAGAGTATATGTGCGTGTGGGGGGGCGGCGGGGGTTGGGGGGTGTCTCCAGGCCAAACAGGAAATATATCTCCTCTACAGGGTGAATCAGCTCCCTGAGGGGCAGGGCTCCGGAGTCAAATGATTTGGATTAGGATCACACTTCTGGTCCTTTAAAATTAAAAAAAAAAAATTATTTGGCTACACTGGGTCTTAGTTGTGGCACACGGGATCTTCAATCTTCATTGCAGCATGTGAAATCTTTGGTTGTGGCATTTGAACTCTTCGTTGCAGTATGTGGCATCGAGTTCCCTGACTGGGGATCAAACCTGGCGCCCTGGATTGGGAGCCAGGAGTCTTGGCCACTAGACCACCAGGGAAGTCCCCTCTGCTCCTTGACAGCTGTACATGCTCAGGCCAACCACTTAACCTCTCTGAGCATCTACCAAATGGGTCCTGTACCACCAGGACTGTGCTCCAACACAGAGGAATGGGGCACATGCCCGACCCTCCCAGCGCCACATTTCACACCATGGCCCAGAGGCCAAGGCTGAAGTTGTGCCAGGCTAGAAAAGGAGCAAATTGCTGAAGACTCACCACCCTTGCCCCGTT